ACGCAGCCCATATATATATATACACACACACACACGCACGCACAGACAGACAGACAGACAGACAGACAGACAGACAGACTGACTGACTGACTGACTGACTGACTGATAGACCGACGGACACACAGACAGAAAGACAGACAGGCAGGCAGGCAGGCAGGCAGGCAGGCAGACAGAGAGACAGACAAACAGACAGACAGGCTGGCAGGCAGACAGTCAGGCAGACAGGCACAGGCAGGCAGGCAGGCAGGCAGGCAGGCAGGCAGGCACAGGCAGGCAGGCAGGCAGGCAGGCAGGCAGGCAGGCAGGCAGACAGGCAAGCAGGCAGAGAGGCAAAGAGACAGACAGCCAGCCAGCCAGCCAGGCGGGCAGGCAGGCAGACAGACAGGTAGAGAGGTGCAAACATGCGCCATGGACAGAAAGAGAGGCAAGCACGGCCTCAGCGGTGCTCGGCCACGTTCTGATCGCTTCACATCTTGAGCCCCGACTGTGCTCTGACATAGAACTGCAAACATGTGACTCTCAGCCATGCTCAGGCTGCCAGTCGTGCAGCCACTGGCATTCTGTGATGACTCCGAGGTTTCAACCTGGTCAGCATGTGCGGCAGAAAGTTCCGCTGGGGCTGGAACCTGCCGCGCGTGAGCGCGTGGGTACGTGTGCATAAACGAATCTGTATACTTCTCATTTCAGACAAGCCTGCCCTAGTTCCAGCAAGTTTTACAAAGCAACTTCTTGCAGCGACTCGCAGCAAGCCGGCGGTGGAACCGACCAACCAAGCGAGTCGCTTGCTCTAGGCCTGTGGATCTGTCTGCGTTTGCAGTTCCTAAGTTCCTGTGCAGTCTCCTTCGGAGTCACAGGGATATCATCTGGCAGCAGCTTGCCCCATATCTATAGCAACTACAGCCGCAAGACTTGCAAAGCCGCGGATGCCAGAAAAGCCTGAATTTCCTATGCGCAGTGGCATGCTGGGAGCGGTCAGTCCGAACTCAGAGCCAGACTTTGTCTTTCACAGCCTGCGTCGATCTGCTGAGCGGCACTATGCCACTATGCACGACAGCTCGAAGATCTGCCCTCAGAGAAACAAAAGGCCAGGACAGAGCTGTAAGTTTCGATACTGTGCTGCGCCAGCGAATGGAATGGATCGAAAACGGCTGCATATAGTACGTTATGGGCTGTTAAGTACCGATGTACAGTGTTTGCACAAGCTCGTGCTGCCGGTGCTTCTTATTCTTTGGGCATTCACTCGGATTTGGGCTCAAATGTGAACTCGGAAAACCACGCGAGACAACAATGCGGGCTTGAACCACGCTCGCATTTTGAAAGCAACGTTTTCGGCATTCGGCTGTCTGGCGAAACTACACGATCCGTTGATCATGCAGATGCGTGAAATGCTGTTGGGGGACGGCTGCCGTGGTGTGAAGGACAATGAAGCTCATGGATCTAGACATGGATCGATCAGCTCCTATCGAAGATGGTTTCTTTCATCAAGCTGACCTTTCTCAGTTTGAGGTTCGTGCGCACGGCACAACTAGTCCTAGAACCTGTCCAGGACAACCAGCAAACATGTCGCAAATCCCAGGCGGGAGTATTGAGGGCTTTCTTTCTGGGCGGCTTGAAACATGTGAGGCGATGCAACGCTGCCCTTACAAGCCCTTATCGACGTCACGAACTTGTTGTGCTTCGGAGAAATGTGCGGTCAGATGACCAGCCTCACCTGGTGGCCTTTGGCCAGTTCCAGAACAGCAGCTCGCATTTGCTCGGCTGCCCTAGTGAGGTCAGACAATTGGCTTCGAATCTTGCTAGTCTGCAGCCTGAGGCCGCAGAGATCGACAGATCGCGCAGAACCGCGCATGCGAATGCAGCTGTCGATAAATTCGTCGGCATGGATGTAGTTGTTTCCATCAGTGTCAAGCATTTGGAAAAGTGTCCAGGCATCAGCAGCGCCTTAGTTGCTTACATCCTCAGCCAAATCGCAGAGTAGCATCATCCAAATCTCTCTCATTTGGCTCTTGGAAGCTCTCGCCCAAGTTCTCAAATCGCCAGTGGCCCAAGAAGCCCACATCGCAAGCAGTATATCCGACAGGTTCAGGACTGTACTGTAGGAACTTCAGGGCGTAAGGGTGAATCTAGGGAGCAGTCTACTTGGATCTGAAACTGTGCGATCTTCCTTCCACCCTCTGTCAGTTTTAGGGTACCGGGCTGAAGGTTTCAAGGGTTTTTTTTGGCTTTGAGCGATAGGAGTCACGAGTTGGAACTTATGGGCTTGGGCCGATGAGATGCCTCAGCAAGACCAGACCCTAAAGCCTGAAGGGTTGCGAAGGGCCTCAAGATCCCTGCCTGCAAATCATGCACTGGTTTTTCCACGGCCACAAGGTTTCTCACAACACGGACTCGCCAGGTGAGGTCTCTCGCTTCGCAGTCTGTTCTCATGTGTTCTCATGTAAGCTTGGGGGTCAGACAGCAAGCACAAATCACACTGAGACCACAGCGACAACACGATAGCTATTCCTGCGGTGTATTGGGAAAGAAGGTTTTCGCTATCAGCTTCTAGGATGGGCAGGCATTGCTGTCGAGATCTTTGCTCCAAAAGCTTCGGCAACTCCTCTCAACTCACGGTATCCAAAAGCGTCAGTCACCCCCGAACGATGTAGGGGGAAACGAAAGCCCAGCGGTCAATCAGGAAATTTAACACTGGTGGAAGTTTGGTTGCAGTAGCTCCGAGGAAGCCTTCTCAACTTCTTGAGTAAATCCTTGAACACCGCGAACGGAAAGCCGGGCAGGTGCTGCCAGGTACTCAGTCTTGACATCACATGCTGAGAAAATGTGCTCTCAAAAGTTTCAGACTAATCGGCATCAAGAGTCGGCTTTTGGGTCTTCACCGAATGAAAGAGAAACTTTTTGGGGCGCCCGGCATATCCTGTCCGAGATTGCATGCACTTTTTGACCTGCACCGAATGAAACCCCAAACTCCTCCAGAATGATTTTCCCGGGCCAGTTCAGCCCTGTCAGCTGCCTGGCTTCCGGTCTCGGGTCTCCATGCCATTTCCACACTATCACACCCCAAAGGCCTGGAAGCAACTCGCATCGACCGGCTTATCCTGTCGGAGCTTCCTTGCCGCCTTTTTGGTGAAAGCTCCACTTGCTCTGGTTTAGGAGAACGTAGCCGAATCGTTGCAAGTCTTCAATGTGTTTTCATGCCACTGAACCGACCGCAACGAATACACAGACCGGATTGGAACCGCTGCTACGACAGCTGCCAAAAAAACTACTACCGCTGACCTACCGTACCCCTATGTTTACAGCTTGTAATTCTTGCCATTACTATTACCACTACCATCCACTACCATTACTATCATCATCATTACCAGTTTTGGTAGAACTCACATTTCTACTCCTGGCCCCGCTACTGCTGCTGTTCTTAGTACTGCACTGCTTCTACTTCTACTTCTGCTTCTCCTGCCACCTCTACTACCACTTCCCCAAATATACTACCACTACCACTACTAGAGCTGCAGCTGCTGCGAGTGCTGATGCTGCTGTTTCTACTTCTTCCACTGCTAACACCTCCAAATCGAAGCGATTTCAACTGCGCCCAATCAATTCGAGTTAAACAACTGAGAGCTGCACCAAGCTCCAAAGCTTCAAAGAGAGCTCGGACGGACTCATCCTCAAACCTGCTCTCGAATTCCAGTAACGTGATTATGCCGTTCCCGTCGTCGTCGAAAGACCTGAAGAGTTGCAATAGCCGCTCTCTGAAGCTTTCCTTCTCCTGAAGCAGCGATTGCACCAGCAGATCTTGGTCTTTCTCAGCGCCCGTGATGGCAGAATGGCAGAAGACACCGACCTCAAAAAATCGCAAAGCAAAACCGCTCATGCTTGCATGGCGTGCAGTTGCAATGCATGCATCAATGAATCAACTGAGATCATGTCCATGACGTTCAAGACCTCAGATTTGCGAGTCTGTAGAACAGCCACAACAATTAACAGGTTAAACGGTTTCAGCAAAGCTGTCAACCGTTGGCCTCTGTTGAAATGCGCTGACACATTGGCTCTTGGCTCTTGCTCGTAGGGCCGCTTGGTCAAGCTCCCGCACTAGCATGCAGCTTGTCCATCCGGCACCCTGCACTACATCTCCGCAGATAGCTGTGTGCAAGCTGCACGAACAGCAGTGCGCTGCGCTACTTTATCCGGGCAACAGCTGCAAATAGCCGGAATTCTCAAAGCCTTGAGATCCAAGCCACGGCAAAGCAGCAAAATGCAACGTAGAGTGTGAAGATCAACGACCACTCCCAGCCAATGCCACTGAGAGCATCGGCAGGACCTTCCCAAGTCACACCGCCAGATATGGATCTGAAAAGTGTGTTCATTGACCGCACTGGTGATCCGAAGTGAGCCATGATAGGATGATCATCGTCAGTCCTTGCATCAAGTTCACGACAAGCCGCCCATGCAAACATATGTGCACGTAAACATCTCTCCTGCTGCACGCATCTCCGAACTGGCCATCTGCTACTAGTATCAGAATCTACATCCTCGCAGACAAGCCTCCCGACGAGGTTGTTTTCCAAGGCGTGGTCGATCGTGGCATCACTGAAAAGTATGCTGAATGCATAGATGATGACCAGAAGCAAGACCAAAGACCACACCAAAGATCTGAGGGTGTACAAAATGGAAAACACGAGCACCCGCAGCGCCCGAATGAAACGCAAAACTTTGACCATGCGTATGGCGCGTGCCAATCGAGCAATCTTCATGATCCGCAGCAAACGAAAACCACTGCTCGATGAAGAGGGCTTTGCCTCAATACCTGCCACGACGGCTGCTAGATCGAGAACGGCAGTGGCGGAGACGAGAATGTCCAGCAGATGCCAAGCCCAGTCCGTCGCACAGAAGAAACCCAGTGGACCCCATGCCGCAAGTCTCAACAAGATCTCCAATATGAACAAGACGGCATATATCATTTGCAGCGTGAGGAAAACGCCGGGCAAGTCTTCTTGCAAATGCTGTGAAGTCCACTGCGTCTGAACGCCAAGAAAAATTGCGTTGCTGACGAGAACACCTGCGAAAAATGACTCGAATCTCCAAGATTTTACACAGCTTCTAAAGCGTGATGCTGTCGAAGGATCTTCAATAGCTTCCACGGACAGTGGCATGCTGGCCGCTTTCTCTAAGACAGGCTCCAATGCCATCAAATGGTCCTGCGGTAAAGAGAGCTGCTCTTTGGCGATCTCGTATGACGACGAGCGATCGATATCTGTAGGTGCAGCTACTTCCGAGACTGTGCCAGCTTGTAGGGTGATGTCTGCTGTAACAGCTGCGGCCACTGCATGCTTCGTGGCTTCCGGCCTCAGCTAGTCACCATCTTGAACTTTGCAGCATGATGTGCTGCATTGAGTGCATGCAGTGAAGCCATGATCTGAAAGCATCTCAACACAGCTTGTGGAGTGGAATGGCCCTGAAGTCTAACCGCTCCTCTATTTCCACCAGCGGGCTCCACTAAGGGCTGGAGACCGGCACTCCGCGGCCCCATCTCGCTCTCGTCCGCGGATCTCATCAAGTGGCCAAAAAGCCTCAGCGGGAGAGGCGGTCATGGCTCGAGCGACGTCCCGGCAGATGTTGATGTGCCTTTGCCGAGAAGCTCCTCGAAGCGACCCATCAACTCTTGATGTTTCTGATCGAGCAATGCCTCCAGGTCCGCATATTCAACCTGCTGAACACGGGCTCCAGCTTCAACTGCAAGCACTCAGCTACACTTGTTCTGCACGCTGAGAGGCGGACCTGCGCCCGTGCTACCATGGAAGCCGAGCTCTCACGATACGACGACTGGGAATTCAAGTTGGAGCAAACGGCGGCTTAGGCGGCGCGGCGCCGTCAGACATGGACAGTGGGACATATAAGCTCGCGTTGCGATACACGGGTGAAGGGCAGCCGGTTGCCATTGTTGGGAGAATATATGCAAGAAATTGCAAGAAAATCCCCATCATCTTAGAGGTCGTCGAACCGTGGCACGAACCATGCAGTTCAAGGACGAGCAAGGCCTCAGGCTCTGGTTCTACCTCATCTACCGAGGTCACTCCAGTCGGGAGATCGCTGGCCGGGTACCTCTGCTGCAAGTGTCAGGCTTCAAGCTTAAACCGAAGCGTGAGAGCTGCAAACACCGAGACTTGCAGGCGATGGCGCACCAGATTTGCTTGGGCAAGTCATCCAGGGGATAGACTGGCCTAAGAGTCGGGCAGTCTCCTTCGAAGTTGCGGCAGAAACTCGAAGAGTCGCGAGTCGCGGAAGTCAGACTGACGAGTGGCTGGAGCAGCAACCCTTTCTGCGGCTCCGGGTAGAACCTCCTTTAGAAGCGGTCCGGTGCAAGATGAGGACCCATCCCCGATCAAAGGCGACAAGCGAAAGAAGTGGTGGCGCATTCTTCACACACTGAAATTGTCTCCTAGTAAGGTGTGGTTCTGGACACATACTGATGAAACTTCTTACACCACAAATGTATGATTTCAAAATGTCAACATCAGATTTTGTTTCCCCGGCGTAATTGCAAAATCCAGTCAATTTCCAGAACATATTTAGAAACCTTTCTACATTTGCAGAATCCAAGCGGCCGGAGTGGAACACATGTAACCAGGATTTTGCTGATTTAGATGAAAGCTCAAAGGAACTGAAAACGATTTAAGGCTCCTGGAGTTCAATGACTCTGATGGCTCTGATGCTCGATCCGGACGCTTAGTACGGAGGCTGGGGCTCACATGCTTGGGGGGGTGGGGGCGGGCCTGTCTTAATACGAAGTGAACATTACCGGCATCCAACAAGGTACGTCTTGCAAGGGATGGCTCCTACAATTAGAAATGCGATTCCGATCTAGCGGGCGGTCCTGTTGCTTGCAGTTGTCCGCTCCGCTGCATACTGCTGCGCCTGCACGCCCACTTGACCAAATGAAATGATGCGCTGGAGTATGCAAGCATGTCAAGCCCAAGCTCCCACTACAGTATTCTATGCAGCCTGCATGACTCTTGATTGCCGGCAAAGCAGCAGAGCAAAGCATCCTCTCCCACGCCCTTTTCGCCCAGTCTCACACACTGGCAAGGCGGTCAAGGATGCTAGGTCGAAGTAGCAGGTTGAAACTGACTTAGTTGCTCCAAAGCCCTGTGCACAAGGCGGGTTGGAGTTGTTTACAATCCGCTCAAGTAGTACAACAGGACAAGCGGAAAATCCAGGAGCAACAATGCTGGAGAACTCGGCAGAAAGGCTCTTCGAACCTTCCGCGAGGCTAGCTATGAGTATATGCTCGGACTAGTGCTAAGTCTGCCAAGTGTTGTCAAGGCTCTGTTAAACCGTCAAGGCGATGACGGCTCAGACCATTAGACTGAGATCCTGAGACTGCGACTGCTCCATCGTGCACTGGGAGAGAATTTTCCCCCCTCTTCAACCCAGGGGGTCGAGACCCCAAGGCACTCTCTCGCTCTTCTTCTACAGGGTGTAAGGGAGCGAGCGAGGTTTCCCGGCTGCATGGGGCCCCTTGGATATCCCAAGGTTTGAGGGATGTGAAGCGGATCGAAAGAATCTATCGGAGGGCAGACGACATTTAGAATTTTTACTTTGTACACAGGACGCACTTCTTCGCCACGGTTTGAGGGACTGGTCAGGTCCCCCTTACTTTCTGGGGCGTTGGAAGGACTCTCTCTCTCTCTCGTTCTCTTCCTTTTGATTTTTGTAGGGCAAAACAGTCCTTTCACAGACCCCAGCCTCCAGCGGAGCGTCCCGATGTTCGGGCTTTAGGCGCTGGAAAATCTCAGACCGTGGATCTGCCGTTTTGGGCCTGAACCTCCCTGCTGTGCACACTTCGAGCAGTCAGTTTTTTTCCCTTCGCTGATCTCACACACTCCTGCTTGCTCAAGATTTAGAGTGGGGGCATGGCCCCCGCCCGCTTCGAAGGGATCCCAACGTCCTGCGTCCTCCGCATTACACCTTTAACCCGACATGAACGTCTTGCCCCGCCTCGACTCCTGAAACACACCGCTCGCTCTTTCTTCGGGCTGGTAAAGGCACCGGGTGGCATGGAAGGGGCTCAGCCCGCCATGTAACCTGACAATACCTCAATGATTGGACTCTGGACTTCTACAAAGCGGATGCCTTCGCCATGGAAATCTTCTTTTTGTTTCTCTCTCACTTCACTTCACTCGGGTGTTCGAGGAGCTTGTCAGGCTCCCCGCGCCGAAAG